TTAATTTACTCTCTTTTTTTCGCGCAATGCGATCACTTCCAAATGTCCGCATAAGGGAACGTCAAGTTATGAATGATTGGTTTGACGAACGGTTAACTGTATAACTAGAAATCGGGACATTCTTTGTCTAGCCTATTGGCGTTGAGCGTTTTAAGGTCATGCTTTGTCACACAAGTGGGGATGATGAGGTCATTCGCGCACACTGACCGCGTTCACTGACCGAAGTGGTCAACACCAATGTGTGAGTGATAAACAACACGACAATCATATAGCTGTTGGCATCATAGGAAGACAGACCAGTTCGACAACACTCTTCTGGTCCGGTGTTGGCAAACCGCCATCACCACCACCATCATCATCATTGTTGTTGTTGTTGTTGTTGCACAGTGCTGGGTTATTCGTCTCGCCGACAGATCTCACACCGGCTTCGCGCGTGCGCATCAAGTAAACTGTAACGAGACAATCGAATATCTTCTTAAACCTTTTTTCCTGTCACACTTTTCCACCATACAGTCAGTATCCGTAGTTCAACCGGAGAAAATCTTTTCTCCTTTCAGTTATGGTTTGCCATTTTGTTGTTGTTTTCGTTCCGATGATTACTCGACCTTTCAAATTACCTGCCAATGATTGAGATCTCTATAGTCCAATGACTACCGGATTAGTTTATTGGTTCTGAGGTTTGCCGCGTTCTAGTTTATGCCACACCACTCTCACGTTATTGTTGTTGTTGGGGGGGGAGAGGGGTGACCGTACTAGTGTCAATAGTTTCCTCTCTGATTCCAAAGTCTCGCTTTTGTTATCGAAATTGATCATACCACTTCCATTTCCTGCTCAACTGCTTGTTTCGCGTTCAGCCAGTTCGACGGGTACAAGAGTTGCAGTTTCAGTTTGGACAACTAATGGCCATGAACTCGTATACGGTGGTTCGGGTTGTTGTTTTTTGACTGCCCATTTGGATGAAGGAGTAGAGGGAAGGTTGAAATGTGTAAAACAGTTTCTAGGTGAGAATGAAGAATTCATGTGGACTTAGGTTGCAAGAACATTGACTAGGTGCACGCGTGCCATTGTTCACGACACTCATTCACTCTGTGTTCCTAACCGTCGATTACAGTGATCCCAAGGTCCCTATCCAGGAAACCTAACGCGATCTATGTGAGATAGTTTCCCAGTCAGGGTTTTCAAAATCTCATATTCAGGTCTTATTTTGACCACCCGGTCGGTGGCTCAAGCCTAAATGGGAGATTTATCTGAAAGCTCTCGTCCGAATCACAAGATCGTGAAGCGGTTCTTTGAGTTCGGACTCAAACTGGGGTCGTCTTTGTGCTGTTTAGGTTATACTTACTTCTACAAGGTGTTCAAAACACCCCATTGTCCAATCGAATTGTCGGTAGCTTATTGGGCGTTGTTTGATATCAACTAAATCGTTAGTCGTTTAAAGTCAGATTCAAACAACTGTCCCTTATGCAAGCTAGCTCTCAGTGGTTTGTCGATTGGATCAAAATTCCGGAGCTTATCAGAGTATCATGTTCGGATTAGCTCATTCGGTTGCTCACATCTCTTAGGTCTTGTTCGTGTGTGTGTGTGTTTGTGTTTCATTCCTTTCGCTATCGTTAATTCCCCATCCGTTCAATGTATTTAAATACGACGAAAATATTTGTGCTTTCTTGTTCTCCCTAAATCTCTCGTTGTCACTCTCCTCATACACATTCATGTAAAACCTATCCTACACGTGGGTATGGTAACCCTGCCCCTGTTCTCCACAATGCCTCATTTGACCTGCCCAATCCAGATCCAGCCACTTTACGAAATTTTGTTTGGTTTCAGTGGTGCGACATTCTCCACACACCCCTTCAGTTTCGAACACTTCTGAACTTCCGTTTGAAGTTAGCCGCCTTCACTTTTTTCGTGTCCTCGGTATTTGTCTGCATATAGTACGCACTCAGCAGATTACAATGCATGCGGTTTTACCGTACTCTCTCTCTCTCTCTCTCTCTCTCTCTCTCTTTTAGTTGGTTGGTTGTATGCAGTTGTTGCACAACCACTGCTTAACTTGCTTATAAATTATCGCGCACTGAATTCAGCCACTGTCGGTGCTATGCAGTGCCAACTTCACATTCCCATCCACCCCATGCCTTGGTGAGCATGACTCGGATGGGACGACCGAATGGATGGGACTATAGAGTAGTGGAATTGCATTCTCGATTTGCATGCGTCTACGCCCGCGATTCCGTCGATCTCTCTCCGTCCCGTTCACTCGGTCGTTCCGTTACGCGTGCTGTTCGGAGGCCACTCCAATTGACAAAGTTCCCTTCATCGTGTAACCTCTTCCCGTAGGGGTCGAGACAGACACGCTATTCGGTCGTTAGTTTGTCACACAGGTACACACCAGTGCACACTTGTGGCCAGATGCCTATCAAATTGAATTTTCCTGAGGACTCTACTGTGTTCAGTTTTTATTCCTCCAACTCGTTTTTTTCCCGCATAAAACGAGTGACGAATTTTCAACAACAAAAATAAATGTTTATCAACATTATGATAACTGCTTATTTTCCTTACCTTGTTTCATGATGTTAGTTAGCATGACTAACGGTGTTCTTTTTTCATCAATTACTTGTTCATCATTTGGTTTTCATTCATTAAAAATACAACAGTTCTGATTGTTATATGATGAATTAACAGAAGATGAAAATGTTCCATGTTTGGACAATCAATGATCGCTCGTCAAAGCTAATCACACTGAGCTCGAGCGGCCACTGTGTTATTTGGTCCGGCTATCAATTGTGGTCTCGCCTACTCTTTCAATTGAGCATATTCTCTTCGTAGGTGAAGAATTGAAAGAAGAATTTTTTTGCGGATGTCGCAAATCGGAACTGAGTGCTGATTTTGTCACAGAGAGTGATCTATTTGTGGATCCAGAGTTGTCCGACTTAGCCGTCTCTCTCCCTCTCAACGCTCCCTCCCCGAAGTTTACCACCCCCAATCTCGAGCAGATTGCTAGTCGATTTTTCCCAACTCATACCGATCGTTCTGGCGATCATGGTGCAATGCGGTTCGCTTTCTTACAATTCCTTTCTCGTTGTCTTCCCTTGGAAAGTTATTTACTCCTTCGCTAGATAGTGTGGGCACTCTCGGTGGAACATTTCGGATATCATCTTCAGCGACTATTGGTCAACACTGACCAGTGTCAACTGAAAACACCTTTGAGATAAGATGTCTACGGATTTCGCCCCTGGAAATTTCACCATGAACATAAGTGCACGCTAGGTTGAATACATAGTACATCTATTTTGTACATATCTTCTCATCCGCTTCGACTATTTCCTTGCCTGAATTAGAGGCGGTGTTCGGATCAATGAGGCAGGATACCGTTTGATTGTAAACCGTGGAGGGATGTTGCGGTACCGGGCGGAATGCGAGGGTAAACAAAAACGCATCCTCCGGTCCGCACGCGCGCCCCGTCGGATGCCAGCATCCGATACACATGAGAACCGATTGAGTAGTAGTAACAGGTGAAGGACCTTGGCAGATACATCAATCACACTTATTCTCCTCTTAATTATTCCACGCCGCCATTCTTTGGAATCCGTTAGTGAAGTGACCGTACGCCAATCCATTGGGAATATCTTTGTGCCTCATAAGGGAAGAGTAAAAATTGGGATGATGTTCAAGTGGTCTCAGTAGATGGACTATGTGGAGTTTTATGGATGTGCTCTTTCTCTCTCTCTCTCCTTCTATCTCACACCCTTCGGTTTGACTAATCATGCGTTGCAGGAAGCCTTTTACAGTTGGCGTTTGATCAACCCACCGCTTCAAGCAAGCTATAAAATCTAAATGAGCATAGCTTCTCATTGAGCCCATTTTTAAATCGTACCATTCCAAATTTATTGGAAACGCATTAGAATGGTGCTAACAAGATAGAGGCATCACATACGTGTTTCGATCATTGTGAGCTGAAGGACCGGACACACTGAATGTGATGATATTTTAATTAAAGATTCGCAGATCCATCTTGCTCCCCTAACTGATATGGTCCTGCTCCTCGTCGCAGTCATGATTGGGTAACATCATTCACCGGTCAAGACAATACTGTGAGGTACTACTCACATTTGTGAATAGTACGCGAAATAATAAGGTAAGCGGTTTCTTTCAACGGTCAAAAATGAACAAAAACACTTAGAGCGAATTTCTGTGCTCCAAATACAGACTGTTTCATTCATTACCATGTGTGCTGCCCGCAATTGGGATGGCATGTTTAAAATGAGATCTTTTTATATGTATGTCAAATTATCGGTATCTTAACTGTAATGCGCAGTAAATAACTATCCCCGACCAGGCACCGCCTTGTAGAATTACAACAGCAGTTGGCGTATTTGACCGAGTTTTCTGGGTACGATCGAGAATGACCAAAGTCCGAGGTTTGAAGTATCTTGGATTGTTTTCTGTTGAGGTTCTATAGATCTACTATCCCATTTCCGATGGTTAACTGCCGGTTGAA